AGGAGGGGGAGGAGAACTCGAGGGAGGGAACAGAATAGTTGATGGTCCAGTTGGGGGGAAGGGCAAATAAGGAGAGAAAGGAAAGAGATGTCTTGGTAGAGAGAGCCTGGCAGTAGGGAAAATCCCAGGAACCCACAGGATGACCCCAGCTAAGACTCCTAGCTATAGGGGAGAGGGAGTCTGAACTGGCCTTCCCTGTAATCAGATTGATGACTACCTTAAATTGTCATCATAGAATCTTCATTCAGTAATTGATGGAAGCATATGCAGAGACCCACAACTAGCTCCTTATTTACAGAAGGTAGAACACATACACCACCCTGGATTGATTTTATTTGGAAAGAATTTTCCTGAATCCTTTCTTACACGGTATTTTTATAAGGGTGACCAACACTGGTAGGAAGTAGATCTGCAGAAGTCACAAATGTTAATATGTAACTTCTCATGAGAGAAGACTACAGCATCTGTGACTTTAATCAAGTCAATTTTCTGTTCCTCAGTTTCCTTATCTAGATCATCTATGGGCAGCATGAATTTCAAAGTGATAAAATGAAGCAGCTGGCATAGCATGTAAGAATCACACCATACAGCCAGGCAGTGGTGCACGCATTTAATCCCAGCACTGGGGAGGCAGAGGCAGGTGGATCTCTGTGAGTTCCAGGCCAGCCTGTACAAAGTGAGTTCCAGGACAGGCTCCAAAGCTACACAGAGAAACCCTGTCTCAAAAAACAAAAACAAAACAAAAAAGATCACACCATACATGTTCACTAAAAACAGGAAAAAAGAAAAAGAGAGAAAAAGAAATGAGGGAGAGTTTCCACTATTCTGCCTACATTTCTAAAATGCTAAGACTGGAAAGGGTCCCTAATGTTTGGATAACAGGATTTTGACCAGACTGGTCTCGAATTCACAGAGATCTGCCTCCCGAGTCCTGGGACTAAAGTCATGTGCCACCACCACCCAGCCAGGATTTTTTTTTTTAAAGTAGTAAAAGCCCTTTCCCCTGTAAATGTATTTTTCAGTTGCATACAAAATTACACATACACATGGTTGTGCATGCCTCTACTCCTAGCACTTGGGAGGCTGATGTAAGATCTCAAGTTCACAAACAAAACAACCCCCCCATGTGTTAGTGCTTCCTTATCCTCATCATATTAAAAGGAAATAACCATATTATAAAACAATCAGACACTTTACATGTTAAATTTCCATGTCTACCAGCATCTACATTAAAGGCTTGAAATAGGTAGCAACAGTCCATGAGCTCCGGCCCACAGAAGTGACCTAATTGTGAACGCCATTTCTTTCTCAAGCTTGAAGTATATATGGGCCTGCTTATCCTTTAGCAGATGTGAACTGCAGTCAGGCCGGGTGGCTGGGGCAGCTGAGGTCAGCATAGGCTGGCTGCAATGTGAGACCTTACTTCAAAACAAACAACCCACCCCAAAATGTGGTGAGGTAACAGGAGGTTGAGGGAATAGTAGGTTGAGAGGAACCAGGAATGGATCACAAGGAACTCCTTAGGTCACATTGAGACACCTGGATTTTTCCCTCAGCAAAATGGAGACTTTAAGGAAGCTCCAATGTAGTTCTGGTAACGCTTTTTGTTAGATAGATGGGTTTTAGGAGGCCTGCACAAGCATACATAATACCTCTGGCCAAAAACATCAGCATTCCAACTAGAGAAAAGGCTGCTGTAGAAACTTTCCCACAAACTAGAGACAATGCCAACTCCAGACCTTTAATTGAGAAAGATTAAGCCATGCAAGGTGTCTAAGATGGCATCTCCACCACAGAAAACCAGTGAGCCCCTAGCTCTCAATGCCAGGAATCTCATCCCTTCATTTAAGATTTCAACTGATATCTTCACTGATGGGGGAAGTCCTTCTGTGTACGTTTGTCTTATTGGTTGATACATAAAGTACTGTTGGCCAATACGAAAGCAGGTTAGGCAGGACTAGGAGTTGAGGAGGATTCTGGGAAATGTAGTAAAGATAAGTCTTGTGATCCAGGCAGGAAGTGACATAGCAGGCCGACTCAGAATATAAACAGGGACAAGTAGGAAATCGCTCTGCTCTCCTCCTCCTTTCTTCTCTGTGGAGCCGCCATGTGACCCAGGCAAGGAAAGACGCCTGCAGCTGGCATCCGATAAATTCTTATAAAATATATAAGTAGCTATGGTTGATAATTAAGACTGCTCTAGCAGATTAGAAATCCTAGTCATTGGCCAGCAGCATTGTACCTAGTATGTCTCTGTGTGTTATTTTGGGCTCCCACGTGGCAGCAGGGCTCAGGTGGCTTGGCGTTAAGATTTATGGGTTACACTTCACTGCACATGGAAGAAGCCACACTGAGTTCTGTTAAGTGCTGAATACTGGTAATGCTGTCATCACAAAAAAGTGTTGCCAAACAAAGTATTATAAACTGGTTGGATGAATGGATGGGAGTACACAATCAGGGCTGGCTGCTCCTGCATGCTGAGGGGCATCTATGTACACTGTCCTCCTCAATGGTGTGGGTCTACTGCACACTTCTGTATTTACAACATGCACAAGTTGCCTTATCTTTGTGTGACACGGTGCTAGTGTTCAAATCTCCCTGAAGAGGATTTAGGCTGCCTTAAATTACCTCCTATTTTCACTTGGTTACTGTTGGAACAACTATCTCCCTGTAAGGTTGGGGATTAGGACTCCACATCTTTTTCTGAAGGGACGTAAGACAGCCCATAACACTGTACAAGTTATAGGTCACGTCACAGGTCACATCTAAACTCTAGGCTTCCAGAAAAAAAAAAAAAAAAGGCAGAAACAAAATTTTCATGTTTTCAGATTACATTTCTCCCACTGGCCTCACAGATGCTTTTGCTATATCCTGGCTGCCTGGTAATTTTATTTTTTTTGTTTTGTTTTTGAGACAGGGTTTCTTAAGGCTGGCCTCAGACTCATGGAGATCTGCGTGCCTCTGCATCCTGAGTGCTGAGACTAATGGTGTGTGCCACCACCACCTGGCTAGTAATTTTCAAAAAACTTTTGGGGGTGGGTATCAAGTTCAAATTCAGGGCTTTAAGTATGGTAGGTAGGCACTGTCTCTGAGTTATAGCATTACTTATATTCTACCCCATGTCTTTATTACCCATGCAACCACTGTCTATAAAGCCAGAGCTAGGTCATTCTCTCACAAATTGCCTGGTCATTTAAAAAGCATTATAACTGGACTTAACAATTTTCATTCTGACACACCCCTCAAAATATCACTAATTTTCAAACTTGGCAATTCATTTTATAAACTTCATTTTGTACATGTATTTGCCCACACATATAGGTCACAGTACAATCTGCAAGAGTGGTTCTCTCCTTTCAAGTCCTGGGGCTTGATTCAGGTCATCAAGCCTGGTGGCTTTTATCTTTAATGCTGAGCCATCTTATTGCCCCTACTACTTCCTTTTGCTAACAGGATCCTAAAGCTACTTAATATGTGGGATCTACATGTCTAGTACGTGTAGGCATCTTCAAAGTTCAAATACAATGAGATAGCAAAGACACATTGACTGTAGATGACAGATGAGACCAAGTTCTGCAGGGCAAGAAAAGTACCTTGTCTAAGGTTCACAGTATCGAGGCGAAATAGGACTTAAGAAAAGTTAGTCTATGCCGTCAAACCCTCTTAAAATAATGGAAGAAAAAGTTTTGTTTAGTTATATTTCACAAAAGGCAAACAAAATACAGAAATCTGAAGTTTTATTTCAGGAGCCACCACGGATTTTGCTTTTACTTCTATGTAAAGGTTATTTTATACACAGCGTTCAGAAATACATCTGTTTGTAGTTCTATCAGTTTTGTCAAATGCAAAGGACAAGCATGACTCATACAAATATACTTTAAATAAGCCTTAGAATCACAATTTAATTGCTAAATGATTCAGCTATTGAAAAAGTACTGTTTCACATTCCAAATGACTTTCTCAAACTAAAAAGAGTACAAGTGTATCAAATCTTTGCCAATATTTTTAAAAACTATGTCCAGTTACAAATTAGTTTAAAACTTCTTGAAAATTAATTATCAAGTGATGTTCCCCCATTATGTAACTATTATTACTTCAACAACCTTTGAAGAAACATTACTCACAAATTTTGGACAATTAAAAACTACAAAATGAGATTGTTTCCAGAAGAGAAATGAACCATAAGTTAGAAATTGCACAGACATTTATTCAGGAGGTACAACCACTAGTCCTTATATATATCAATGATCATTCCACATAATGACATGTATTTTTTAAGTCATGCTGGCAATGCTTTCCAGGTAAGCCACAACCATATCTTCTAGTAAATTCTATTCATTTTAATTGTAAACAAAGTACTTGAGCAAAATACCTTAAAATTTTACAACAGGAAGATGATCTTAAAAACCAGAACATCTATTCTCTGTAGTTGACAACCAAATGGAGAGGCTACCTGGGTGGGCTGGGCCATTTTTGTCATGCACATCAGCAACTTTGCACATGTAAAAGGAAGTGCTCCTGCAGTCACATTCATCCACAAGGCTCTTTTTCCTACCCAGGTGATCACCACTCTTCCCAAAGCACTATTATTTATTCTATGCCTGTGCTAGTTCTGTCAACACATTAGTCTTTAAAACTTGGTCTGTGTCTGCAGGCTGTTTACTCAAATATATATGCTCTCTTTTTTAAATATATTATAATGTATATAGTTACCTTTCTTAAAAAAAAAAAGAAAAAGAAAAAAGGAACAAGGCTACAACAATGTAGGGGTACAGTAATGAATGAAGGAGCCATATGCAGACAGCACAGAATCAATACTTACAGTGTTTCACATCTGAAAATTTTAAACATGTTCTTTTGAATAACTTAGTTTTTTTTTTTTTTTTTTTTTTTTTTAAAAGGGGCAAAAATTTTATTTTCTCGGTTTTTTTTA